GTAGTAGTAGTAGTAGTAGTAGTAGTAGTAGTAGTAGTAGTAGTAGTAGTAGTAGAGTTCATTGTGGGGAAGTCTAAACGCACATATACAATCAGCGGTTTGGCAAGCCTTCGATGTTCCCTCTTTGTGGGATCAGCGGACTGATCGCATGCCTGAAGCGCCGCGCGGGTGCTGTGGATTAGGGAACTATGAAAGGCACGGCGTGCTCAAGCACCCCGCGTGAGGGGGGCGGAGGATTCAGCTCACAAGCCAATGCCCCCTTCTGCGGGAGCGGGCGGTAAGATTGGGCACCTCGTTTGCGATAGGGACTAGGGGCGTGGCAGGCTGGGGCACCCTGCATCGGCGGGCGTGGCGGGATTACGTTCCTTGTTCGTTGGGTGTGTCGGAGCAGATCCCAATATACTTGAAGCGCCTGTCTAATTCAGCAATGATGGTTTCTGGCGAACGGACACTCTTCCGAGGGCGCGCACTAGTGCCACGAACCCCCTTGAAAAAACTTGCCCCCACATTCTGGAAAAACGCGGGAGGGGGACGGACCCCCTCACGTAACATGGTCTCCAGGGCTCATCCTGGAACTCGTCCTCCTCCTCCTCCTCCTCCTCCTCCTCCTCCTCCTCCTTCTCCCCCCCGCAGCCGTTCTGGCTCAGACTCGTGGTGAGTCGGATCTCCAGCGAGATCTTTTCGTCGGCAGAATGCCGCCGACTGCAGGATTTCAGGGCACCGCCAGGGAAATGGCCGATGCCATGGCTCCATATTGCACTTCGGCCTCGTGGTTGTGCTACCCTTCATCCGGTGTATCCCAGACGCAGATCCGTTACCATCGGAGCCTGATCCTCACGATGAACGGGCTCCAGGATAATCTATTCTTCCAATCAAAGAAAACAGCGGAGTGCATGAAGTTGTTGTTAGCGGACGTTCGCGCGTCGTGGGAGAAGAACTTGCCAGGCAAGCACGACGCCAAGTGGATCGCAACTTGCTCTCAGCGCTTCCTTGCCATGTGCAAGCGCGTCGCCAGGGCCGAGCGTAACGAGAGCGCATGGCTACAGCAAGCTTTGTACTGCGAGATCGAGTCTAATCCCGATGGGCGCCTTGGCGCGCGACGCAGCGATGTCGACGGGGATCCGCCTGAGGACAAGCCAGGGGCCATGGGCTCCTTCCTCCAGGGCTGCGGCGGCATCGACGCCCCGAACTCGGGCGACGAGAAGATGTCCAAGGGCACGGACTCGGGCGACGAGAAGATGTCCAAGGGCACGAACGACGAGAGTGAAGACGAGGGCGACGGCTGTGACAAGGTGCCGTCCGAGGAGGAGTGGAGCGAGGACGAGGGCGACGGCTGCGACGAGGTGCCGTCTAAGGAGGACTTGGGCAAGGACGAGGGCGACGGCTTTGACAAGGTGCCCGATCCCCCTGTCTATTGGTACGGCTACGACGTCAACCAGGAGATGGCATGGCGGATCCGCGCCGACGGCAAGCCTAACAAGAAGGAGCTGCAGGGTTGCGTGAACTCTTACTGTGTGTGCGTCTGCCCCCCCTCCTGCCTCCACCTCCTCCGCACCCCACCCCGCCCCGTTGTCAGGTTCAGCCCTGGATCGAGGGTGGGGGTAGGGTAGGAGGAAGAGGTGGAGGATGGAGGGGGAAGCAGAAGACACTCAAAGATATCACGCAGCCCTGAAGGAGTGGGCTCAGGTCTACGTCAGGGATGGGTACAGCAGGCCAGACGACCTCTTGTGGGCGACCTGGCCAGACGGGGGCTTCTGGCAAGTGGATGACGTCACCGTCAATGAGTTCAAGACGAAACAGTTGCTGGAGAGGTCGACGAAGGGATCTGGCGATCTCTTCACGTGCACCGACGGCAGCGGGGTGAAGTACACCATCATGAAGACCAAGAAGACCAAGACGGTCGATGGCGTGATGCTCCTGGCGTTCCGCTCCACGGACCGCACCAAGGACGGCAAGGGGCAGATCCTGCAGCTGATGACGAAGGAGTTCGATTCGAGCGAGGCTGCCATTGCGGCGATGACAGATGCAGTCAAAGTGATCGCGGAGGGCAAGATCGGCGACAGCAGGAAGGAGCGTTACGCCCTGCTGCAGGATGTCAAAAACAAGTACTTCGAGAAGGATGGCAAACCTAATGGGACTGAGCTCGCGACGACGCCGCCACCTAAGAAGACCAAGGTAGCTGACGGGGCCGACAATCAGCAGTCCACTGACAAGAGGGCCATCACCACGGGTGCAAGCGCAACTGTGGAGCTCGGAGTCGCAACCACGCCCATCGGTAACAAGAAAAAGAAGAAGAATAAGAAGAAGAAGACGATCAAGAAGGCCAAGAAGCCCAAGGGCACGAGTGGCTCAGCTGCGGCTGGCGCTGTCCAGGAGGAGGTCGCGCCCCCAGTCGAACCCGACCTGAAGGGCGTCCCCAAGAGGAAGCGCAAGAAGGCGAAGGGCTCCAGGTTCAAGAAGTCGAAGACGGTGGCCTTCGACAAAGCCGACAAGCCCGAGAGCAACACCAAGAACGACAAGAACGACAACGGCGACAAGAACGACAAAGGCGACAAGCCCGAGAGCAACGACAAGAACGGCAAAGGCGACAAGCCCGAGAGCGACGACGAGAACGGCAAAGGCGACAAGCCCGAGAGCAACGACGACAAGCACGGCGACGTGCAGGAGATCGTCAGCAGCGACGGCGACGAGCTCGTAGACAACGACACGGCCGACTTCTTCTCATAGGCTGGGGCCGCTGCCGAGGCGGGACGGTAGTGCATAGCACTGCATCTGTTCAAAACGTGAGGGGCTCCTCGAGCTGGGTCAGGGGCCCCAGGAGCTAGTAAAATGATCAGAACGAGATATCAGGGTGGCTACAAAACCCACCAGTTCCGTGAGACGCCGCACAACGGAACGGGGGAAGACGGTTGAGGGGGGGAAAGGGTTGAGGAGGAGTAAAATGGGTAGGAGGCTGGATGGGCGGGCGAGGATTGAGGAGAAGACGAGGAGGAATGGAGGGAGGAATGGCGAGGGGGATGAGGAGGAGGAGGCGGAAAGGTACGGATGGAGAGGGGGGAGGAGGCCGAGGAGGCGGAAGCGGCAGCGAGGGTAATTAGAGATATAAGGTGGAGGAGGAAGGAGGGGAGGAGGAGGAGGAGGAGGGGCCCGTCCGAACCTCCACTCCACCCCTCCACATGTCCCGAGGAGGAGGAGGTATGAGGGCGGAGGAGGAGGCGGAGGAGGAAGAGGATGACGGGCGGTCCTAGCAACCCAGACGTCTCGCGAGCTTGTTTACGACAAATCGCGCCTCCGCTGGTGATCGAGGTACGAGTTACAAGTGTCCTCCTCCACCTCCTCGGGATGTGGGGGAGGTGAGTTGTTCGGGCCCCTCCTCCTCCTCATCCTCCCCCTCCGCCTCCTCCTCCTCCCCGACCTATTCTATGCGCGGCACCCGAGGGATGGAGACAAGTGGATGTCTTGCCAGACGTTGCGGGGATCGGGGCCAGTCAGCGTCGGGCAGGCGCGAAGGTAATCGCTCGGGGGCCAGTCAGCGCCGAGGAGTCGTGAAGGCGTGAAGGTAATCGCGCGGAGGGATCGGGGCCAGTCAGCGTCGAGCAGGCGCGAAGGTAATCGCTCGGGTGCCAGTCAGCGTAGAGGAGGCGTGAAGGCGCGAAGGTAATCGCGTGGGGGGATCGGGGCCACTTCAAGAGGTCGGCCTCGTCAAACGCTCAAACGATACGGCCAGAAAGCCACGCGTAGCCATTTGGGCTCAAGCACTGGGGGCCGCCCTGGAGCACGCCAGAGCTGCTACACGCTTGTTGGCGCCACCAGCGATGGCGAAATCCAAGCGTTCAGTGATGACGAAGATTGTCAAATCGAAGTCCAGAGCTGCCAGAGCCTCCCGAGTCGACAGTGCGCCTGATCACGCCAGCGAGTTGACTGACAACCTGCAGAAGTTCAGGCTCGGGTGGGACCAGCAGGCCGCAGAGCACAAGATCAACCGAGAGATCGCAGCCCACATCCAGAGAGCATTTGGCGACAACATCGATGTCCCGAGCGGCGCCACTGATGATCCAAATGCGCCGCCACCATGTGACAAAGAGCAGTGCTTGATCGACGCTGTCAAAGCGGGTGTTGCGACAACAGATATGACCGCCAAGATTGCGCAGCTTTGGGAGACGGCCAAGAAAGAGGACAAGTCATTGGCTGACGCGCACAAGAAAGTGGGTCGACCATACAAGGCACAAAGAGACTTCCGCAACAAGTGGGCGAAGTGCGAGGCCAACAAGATGATGAAGGCGCGGATCCACACACACACACGCGCAGGAGCTGATCGGGCAGGTCAAAGGTAAATACAAGACGTTCGGGATGATATGGAAGGAGGAAGGAAAAGACCAGATCGCCTTCGACATCGCAACCAACGTTGCCACCGACTGCTTGACCAAGCACTCGCAAGGCTCGACCTTGCACGGCAGGCCGTGGATTCGCAAGCACCCGCAGAAGAAGTACCGCGAGTTCTTGGTGATCGAGGAGTCGGCCGAGATGAACGACAAGGAGGTCTGGGGGTACTCCGAAGTGCCAGTGGGGCCCGCGGTGCCCAGCGAGCCGACTGGTTCGGCAGGGGGGTCAGGCCTATCACCACTGCCAGCTGGGCACGAGCCTTCGGTTGACGGTGACAGCGACGCGACCAGCAAGCAGAAGAAGCTGAGCCCCGAAGACAAGAAGCTCCGAAAGGAGCTCACCACCAAGTTGGCGAAGCTCAAGCCACTGAAGAAGGAGGCCGCCGAGGCTTGCGCCGATTGCACCGAGCTGGCCAGCGTCATCGCGAGCTCTCCAGCCTGGGAGTACGCCAACAACGAGCCTGCCCTGAGGGGGCTGAGGAAGGCCAGGGGCGAGTTCGACGCAGCGAAGACCAAGCCCACGTTCTGGTCAGCGTGGATGATCGAGGACAACTTCCCGAGCTACGCTGTGTCCCGCTTCAAGACCGACTACATCGCCACCGAGCTCGCGAGGACGGACACCATTCGCAAGCTCTTCGAGACGCTCCAGACAGAGGCCGGGAACCTCAAGAGGATGCATGCAGTTCGCAAGTGAGGCGTGCTGGTGTCGAGCTTTCCTTATCATACTTTTCCAACTCGTCCATCCCCGTCCTCTCATTCTTTCCCCTACTCCTTCCTCCGCCTCCCTTGAACCACTCATCCTTGGACGCCCTTGCTTGGAGATCATTCATCCTACTCATTCTCTACCTTATTCAGCCCCCCCCCCCCCGCCCTCAACACATTAGTGCTTGTGCCAGCGCGCAGCATCATGCACGCCGACTGCTTGGGAATAGAGCTTTAGCAGGGTCTCATTTTCCTTCGAATTCCCTTCTTTTGGTACTATGTTATTTAATCAAAAAAACTGTTCGTGAAAGTTTGCAATTTTTATTGTTTTTTCTTTCTCTCTACTTTTTATAGTTGAGATATGATTTCGTTTATGCCTTCACTCTTTAATCATTTCTATAATGTTTGTCTTTGTTTTATGACTAGTAATCATCAGTGTGATGCTTCTGGGTGCGCTGTCAGGCTACTTGCAAGTACGATGTGTGTTCGAACGGCGTTTCAAGCTGGACAGAGAGACGCGGCCCCAATTCCCCACTTCATTGCATGCACACGTACACCATACCAACATCACGCCTTCGAAACACGCGCCTGCCAAACACGCACCGTGGATTCCAGGTTTGTTCGGCGAAAACTGCGTTTAAAACTCTTTCAAACTCGTTAAAAATCGGTCCCATTAAAACTCATTAAAACTCAAGTTTACAGCACATGTATCGAGGAAAACTGCTGTTTTAAAACTCTTTAAAACTCGGCGGTGCGATTGAAAACTCTTTAAAACTCCTTAAAACTCATATTGGAAAATGCGCTTGTGTGCACGTCGCGTATTATGCAGTCCAAGACCTATGATAGCATCATTGTGCAATATAGTTAAGTTGATAGTTAAACTTGCCTACGAATATTTGCTTGCACTCGCACGTTCATGGCAACGCTGATAAGGTCAGAGTAATTGCCCCATGTGGCCTCCAAAAGATCCTCAAAGCACTCGAGTCCTTCTCAATGGTCTCTTGCGCCACGTCTCTCACGTCCAGCCGTTTGCTCTGGTGCGCCGCCTGGCAGTCGCAAGGGTTTGAACGCGTTTCCTGTGAGAGCCAGCAGGGTGACTTCTGTTTGGCCGAGTTGATTCGACGAGCGAAACAACTTAGCTCTCCTCCTAATCCCGTGTCTGATCTTGTTTCTGTTCCAAGTCCACCCAGGGGGTGCTCGCGTGCGCGTGCGTGTGTGTGTGTGATCGTGCGCGAGGGCCCCAAAAGGCTTCAAGAGAGCTCCAAGAGGCAACAAAAACGGTCCACGAGGGGCCCTGGGAGCGTTGACCTCGACGCGTTTTTTTTACGAGGACTATAGGCGTAAAAAATGGGTCGGAATCAGTGCACCCAGGGCCCCGCATGGACCGTGTTTGGGGCCTCTTGGGGCCCTATCGTGTGTATGGGTTGTATGTGCGCGTGTGTGTTGTGTGTGTGTGTGTGTGTTGTGTGTGGTGTGTGTTGTGTGTGTTGTGAGTGTGTGGTGTATGTGTGTTGCGTGTCCTCATGCGGAAGCACTCCAGATCACCCTGATGGCCCCGAGTTGCCCCAAAATAGATCAGGTCCGACACCGCCCCCGTCAAGAGGGGGGGTGAGGAAGGGTGGGGAGGGGAAGGGAGTGAAGAAAAGAGGGGCGAGTAATCATTTTAACTCAAGCTGTCCGCAATCCTTCGGCAAGCACACCATGCCCAAAAGAGTTCAGCAGGTATGGAATGATGATAAATGGCTCGATCCTTGGGACAATGAGGATGACGAGCCAAACTTTCCTTCGGAACGTATTTCACGGGAATATGCTTCCGATGAGCTAGGGCATTACATCATATATTTGAAGCGAGCTCGATATCTGAGCTCAAAGCAAGCATGTTGCTTAGCGTGGTGGGCTTGCAAGGCGGGTGTTTCAGGCATAGTAGCTAGTTTGGCAAGGGGCCCTAGGTCCACTGGCTTCTCTAGGCACTTCGACGCCGTATCCCTTTCAAAGCAGACAGCGAATACATTTTACCAAGCCGAGGTTCCTTGTCACCTTCGGGGGGAAGCCAGTCACAGTCTTGATTGGGGGCCAATAAACCTTCCGCTGGATGCTATAGAAAAAGAACTACAAGACAACGTCGACATGATTCAAAAACTAGAAGACATGCTCGCTGATCTACCGAAACGGTACGCTTCACACCCTGTTGTACAACACGCTCCTGAAGGCGTGCATTGTATACCATGCTCTCTTTATGTCGACGGGGTGCCTTTTTCCCGCGCCGACGGTGCTATAGCTGTGTACTTAACAAACATCGTCACGAACGTGACCCATTGCATAGCCGTCCTCAGGAAGGGGGATTTGTGTTCGTGCGGTTGCAAAGGGTGGTGCTCCTTGTACAGTGCACAGCACGTTATATCGTGGAGTCTCCATCACGCGGCCATCGGGTTGCGGCCGAGCGAACGCCATGACAACAACGATTGGCTTCCGTCAGATACGGATCGACAAGCTTTCGCTGGCCAGCCTCTGAACTTCAGGATCGCCGTTCTTTTTCTCAAATGCGACCTGGTGGAAATTAGCAGTTCTCTTGGTTTGCCTGGGGTCGGCCACCATGAACATGGGTGCCCCAGGTGTTTCAGCGCAATCGATGATCGAGGTCGCTTCGCGGGTCTCAGCCCGATCTCTGCCCCTTGGTTGTTGAAAGATTTGAACGCGTACGATATGGCAGCTACCGAGTGCGAACACAAGGTCACCGTCACCGATGAAGATTACATCCAGTTGCGGGCACGGCTGAAATTCGATCGGAGGAAAGACGGCAGCCACGGCAGAGCACTCATTGCTGACTACGGACCGTTGGGATTGTTCAAAGGAGATCGCTTAGAACCGTCTCCTCACTTGCCGTGCTTGGCTTGGTTTGATACCAAACCGAGACCGTTCGATGTGATGTTTTGGAGGCCCAGCGCGGAGACCGCTGTCAGGCATAGAAGCCCGCTGTTTTCAGCAATCACGGGGATCGCCTCAGAAATTCTCATGCCCGATTGGCTCCACGGCCTTTCCCTGGGGGAGCTTCAATTCTGGATCAATCGTTGTTGGCACGGCATGCTTAGCGCCAACGTGTTTCAGAGCCAAGCGACAACGCAGCTGAGCCAGAAGCAAGAGTTCATCCGTAACATAAAATCGAGGCTGTTTGAATGGTATGCTCGGCAACGATCCGCAAACAGAGAGATCACGTGCGTTCAAGATCTGACGGTAGGAATGTTTAGTTCCCGCGTCGGCGACGACGTAGGGTTGCATGGTGGCGAGGCGAATTACGTTTTAGAGTTCACGCTGTTCGAGCTCGTTCCAGATTTCTGCCAGCGTCTTCCCGAGTACGACGCACTCCTTTCAACAGGCCAGGCGTTGTGGGCAATATTGAAGTTGATTCGGGCCCACAAATTCGGCAGGTTTGGGGCTCCAGAGATCTCTGAGTTTACGACCGCAATCAAAACGTATTGTCGTGGATGCGACGCGTTGGGTTTGACAGATAGGAAGCCCAAGCGGCACCAGCTCATCCACATGGGTCACCTCATCGATGAATTTGGCACCCCGTGTCAGTGGGGTTGTTGGGCGGAGGAGGGGATGAACAGATGGCTCGCGAAAGTCGCTAACACAGCACACATAAGTGTCTGGGGCAGCCGTGTCTTAGGAGAATTCGCTGACACATTTGGGCCAGGCAGCCGAGCTGCTCGACCGTCGTGGCAGGATTTGCGCAGCTAGGCCTCGTGTGTTTCTTGAATGCTTCCGCAGTGCAATCGATGTGCGGGTGAGGCTGGTAGCAAACACATTTCATGTGCTCAGACACATACAATCATATATACATATATATATATACATATACATATATACATACACACGCGTACACGAATCAAGGTAGACGTGAAACACACCACGGCCATAGTGTGGTTGCTGTCAGTTTGAATGCACTGGTGCCCGCGCGCTGGGCAAGCTCGTTGTTTCACCAAGCTCCATCTAAGTTTGCTGGCATGGACGTTGCAGATTCGCCCTTGACAAACCACACAACATAAACAACACAACAACTTACAACGCAATCAACGTTTGCTTTTGGGCTCCTCCCAGTGGTAACCCTTGAGATACAGCTTCTAGGAGTGAAGACCAGGAGGAAGAGGAGGCGTGAGGAGGAGGAAGAGGAGGAGTGAGGAGGAGCAGGAGTGAGGAGGAGGAGGAGGAGTGAAGAGAGGAGTGAGGACGGGGAGAGGGAGGAGGAGGAGTGAGGAGGAGGAGGAGGAGGAGGAGGAGGAGGCCGCTGTGAAACGAGAAAGGCAACGCAAATACTGCAAAGAGCCAAAGAGTGAAGCTCGATGGACCCCCGAGCCCAAAGCAGAAGCCCGTCTCCGTAGGTTCGACATCCAATCAGGATTTCTCAGCGTTCGAGCTCTCCCTGGAGACTTCCTCACAATATGTCGTTCCACGTTGTGCTCCTGCAAGAGGCTTTCTCCTCACAATGTGTAGCCACATCATGTGTTGTTGCCAGATATTCCAAAAGCTGCCGCCATTCGGCCGCCCCCCGTATTCTACAGGCATTCGCCATTCACGCCACCCCCCGTTATTCCAAAGGCAGTTGCCATTCGCCGCCGCCCCCTGCAGGCCTGCAGTATACCCGCCCCCCACCGCTGGCTTTCGCCGATCCGCCGACCACCTAGCGGGAGAACTCCCCCAACGGTGGCTGGAGCCGATCCGCCGATCCCTAACAGCAGCAAGCAAAACAACAACAACAACAACAACAACAACAACAACAACAACAACAACAGCAACAACAACAACAACACCAACAACAACAACAACAACAACAACACCAACAACAACAACAACAGCAACACCAACAACAACACCAACAACAGCAACAACAACAGCAACAACAACAACAACAACAGCAACAACAACAGCAACAACAACAACACCAACAACAACAACAGCAACAACAACAACAACAATCGCTGGTTTCACACCAGC